TGCATTACTGTCAGTGTTGTTGACTATTACTGACGGTAAGGTTGCGCTGTTGACGCTCGCGCAGCCTCTCGAGGAGAAATCTACACAAATGAGCGCACACACACACTCAGTTAACAACATACTGCCTATAAAAAATCTAAATGTGGAGTTTTTATATTTTTAACATATGTTAAGCAACCTCAATTATTTTTCCTGAACACCATCACGATTGAAAATGTGACATTAATTTCCAACAACAGTTCAATAAACAGTTAAAATTAAGTCACTTACATTTTAGATGCAATATTGGCTGTTTTTGTTCTGTTTCAGCAGCGAAAATAGTTCCAAACAAAAATCACAGCAGAACCACGGGGCATCTCACAGGAACACTCGACCTGTTTTCATTACTGAATGATTCAGCATTTTGAACGAATCGATTGAGTCAAAGATTCAATGACCCATTCATAAACATCTGTCTCATTCTTGAATGAATCAGCCGTTTGAACAAATCGTTTGAATGAATGAATCAATGACTCACTCATTAAGACGGTCGCCTGCCGCCACCTACTGGCGGTTTCGTGTTATGTTTAAAAGTAGATCATTCTTTCCAACGTTTCTTATTTTTAAATTTAAATCAATTTTATAACATTATTTTATGCAATTGTAATTTTTCAGTGTAAATGATTTAATTTGATCAGCCCTATAGTGTCTTATTATTCGAAATAATTTAATTTATTGATCAAATTTAGGAATTTAAAATGAAAGATGAAGCATACATTTAATAATATTGGGGGAGGGGATGCCCTTTAAAGGTGCAAATATTACAATATGCCGATTTAAATATCAAAGCTAATTGAACACTGATGAGAATATTGTTTCAGAATAAAAAAATAAAATAAAAAAATAAAAATCCGGACGAGAAACTTTTTTACTCGGACAAGTGAATGACAGATTTACTTGTCCGAAGGACAAGCGTATGAAAGGCTTAATGTCGAGCCCTGCCTATAGCAATGTCATCAGGATACACATACACCGGTAGGCAGTGGCCCACCTTACCGGGTGACCATGTCGTGGTCCACCAGAATTTATAGAATTTATAGTTTACCCACCTCTTTTTTTACCACTACACCTCTGAATAAAACGTACGAGTCCCAGTCACGCCGACCCTCTCTTCTTCCTTCCAAACACTGAACCTCCTTACAATGGCCCTTATAGAATGTTAAAAAATTGTAAATGGCCCTTGATAGGAAAAAGGTTCCCCACCCCTGCTCTACTGGGTGGTTGCCCTGCATGCTTAATAAACAAACTCCAGCGGCAGCAGCTAGAGTTCATAAGAGAACCAGGAAATATTTTCGGTAACACTTTACAATACGGGTGCACTAATAAGCATTAATTCATACTTAACTAATGCACAGATAATCATGAGTTAATGTATGACTCATGAAGAACTAAACCATTAATTAATTATCACTGCATCAGCAACTAATAAAGAGTCTATATGATTAATAGATTAAGTAATAAATGAATTGCTATTAATTAAACGTGTCATCATGTATTAATTCCTTAATAACATATTTTATTAACTAAGAGTGTAAATGAATGTGTTAATTACCACAATTAGTCAACGCTATGCACTTCAACTTCCAGTTGTCTGCTTTAATTAATCATTAGCTAATGATTTGCAAAGGTGTCATTATGTTATGACTTTACTTGTTGAGGCACATGACTATTAACTAATTGTTAATATGTCATTATGGTTATGGGTTTTGTCATCCCCACTAAAGGTCTGTGGGGCAGTTGCACATGCAGTGAGTGTAATGTCAGAGAGTGTTTGAAGGATGGGTAAGTTGGGCCGCACACAAATATCAGCACACCAGAATCTGAAATAATTACGCTGTTACACCGTGTCAGAAATAGAGTGAGGTATCAGTTTACTGTCGGGGTTTTGTTGTGTCGTGTAGCATTGTGTCGCATCCAGTGTTGGATCACTGATTATAATGGGTTCTAGTTTCTTTGTCCGGTCTAGACACAGTGTTATGAAATAGTAGAGCCCGGCCACATATTCTCAGTGTTTAACTGGAAGTTGAAGTGCATTGCGTTGGCTAATTGTGGTAATTAACACATTCATTTACACTATTAGTTAATAAAATGTGTTATCAAGGAATTAATACATGATGACACATTTAATTAATAGCAATTCATGTATTACTTAATCTATTAATCATATAGACTCTTTATTAGTTGCTGATGCAGTAATAATTAATTAATGGTTTAGTTCTTCATGAGTCATACATTAACCCTCTGGGGACCAAGGGTTTTTTGAGGCCCTTGGGATGTTTTGACATGCACTGACATTTGTGCTTTTTTCAGTTATTTATAAACATGTCCTGAGGAGGAAATATGATTATTTGGAAAATTCCTGTCATGACTGCTTAAAGAAAAATGCCAGCAGGCATTTACCTCCTGCATAAACTTTAATATTGTTGACATTTTGGGCACACGCGCGTTGCGCACTATTTGCGTTATATGTAGGCCTATGGCTTATTGGTCTTTGTGTGTTGTTGCTGGTTTTGCGTTATATGTATATGGCATATTGGTCTTTGTGTGTTGTTGCTGGTAAACGTTGCAAATAGAGGGGCAGCACAATTGTTTTTCGCCTAGAGCGGCAGAAGTGCATTCGCCGGTCCTGGGGGTGAGTTTGCATTAAGCATTAAAGTTTGTCGTTTTGTTTTAATTCTAAGAACACGTACATGTTATCTCATGTTTAGTCTGTTTAGACCTTCCCATACCTACCTATTGTTATTAGCTAGCTCAGGAAAGAAAAAAAAGCTGTAAAGCACAGGGGGAGCTTTACAGGGGGTATGGCTTATCTAAATGAGATGTAAATGAGCCCTATTGTCACTCCCAGCAGGAGAGAGAGGTGAGAATGCACAATCTTTTGAGGCCGTTTTCTCCCATTTTACCTTTTTTGAGTTCCTACCTTCAAATGGCCACAACTTCTCCAAATATTATCAGATTTCCACGTGTTACACATCGTTGGAAAGCTTGGAGACTACACTTTCAGAATCTATGAATAACTCAAAATGCCGAAGAACCGACTTGTGTCCCTAGTTTCCGTGATCGGTCACATATTGGTCTGTCTGTCTCATCCTTATCCCGAGGTTACAGTACTCAGCCAGATCAGGTCCATATCCAGATCAGATGGTGGACCTGCAGCTAGACACGACCACAACGCAGCCCTGAATGTCAGCAGAGACTGTGTCTACTAGACCAGGGGTTCCCAAACTTTTCCATGACAAGGCCCCCCGAATACCACTAGATTCTGGCCAAGGCCCCCCTTTTGAGGGATGTGTTATTGAACCCATCGACAATACTACAGCAAATGTAGAAATGAATAAATAAAACATCTAGGTGAACATCCGATTATGTGATGGTGTTTGATACCAGACAATCAGAAAGATTATAGAGATGCACCGATTACAATTTTCTATGCCGATTCCGATTTTTCATTGAGTTTGACCTGCCGATTCCGATTTCATTTTTTCTAGACACTTTACAGCACACACAAATATTTATTTCTATATTTTTTTTTTTATTATAAAACACCATATACTTTTACCCATACTGAATAATAAAAACAAGAATAAATGGGTACATTTTCTATAAATATTTTTGAATCTTCATTTTCTTTTCTGACATAGCCTACTCCAGTTCTTGTTAAAACACACTAGACATGCAAATGATGTGCATTTTAGGCACTTTTTGTGTGAAATCATATTTATTTTGTCCATCAAAAGTGTGCTTTCACTTTAATTGAGCGTGAGCAGTGCAGCAAAAATAGACTCGGAGCCGAAACCCCCGCTTCACTGCTGCTCACGCGACGCTCCTGCTCGCGGTGTGAATGCACTGATTGATTAACATGCATGGCGAAAAGCACTGCTCACGCGCCCCTCATGCTTGCGGTCTGAAACGGCCGTAATTCCGAGGTTTTCTACATGTGCATTCCGTGTGCACGTGGGATGCTGATATTGCGCGATGTTAATCATGCGGCGCCCGAGTGCATTTGACATTTGTCATGGCCGATCACGTGAAAATCGGCGAATTCCGGTCACCAGCTGATCAATCGGTGCATCTCTAAAAGATTAGCATTAAAAGTATAATGTTCAGATAGGCTATGCGACAAATTATGATAATGCTATTTCATAATAATATAAATATTTTTACGTTTTTTTTCTTCCAACTTGCTGCGGCCCCCCTGGCAGCCCCCACTTTGAAAACCCCGGTACTAGACAATCCCCTTTGAAGGCCTCGTCGACATGACAGCCACGGCACAGATCCTCAGCAAAGACCACAAGAACCAGACTGGTGTGATGAATCCAATCCTCAAACAAAAGGAACTGGATGCTACCTATTCCAATCTGAATTCTGACTTGTGATGCAGCCTGATTCATAATCACACCATGTTTGTTCGTTGGTCAGAGGAGAACTGGCCCCCGGACTGAGCCGGGTTTCTCCCGAGGTTTTTTTCTCCATTCTGTCAAATGATGGAGTTTGGGTTTCTTGCCACCGTCGCCTCTGGCTTGCTCAGTTGAGGAACACTTAATACTCAACAATATTATTGATCTGACTGTATTGATTCTGTTGTATGAGAAGTGAACTGAGCTGGACGCTGACATAATTTTTTTTTATATTCGCAGAACTGCTTTATAGATTAAGTGAACTAATTAATTGATGATCTTTACAACGGATCTGAATCAACACTGAACTGACTTCAGCTGAACAACAGCTGAAATGCATAATTTTCCTCTTACCACTGTAAAGCTGCTTTGAAACAACCGGCATTGTATAAAGCACTATATAAATAAAGGTGATAACTCCTTTTTTAGGCATTATATGGATGTAAGATGAAAAGAAAATTCCACTGATAATAACCACTTGTTTACGTGATGGCTACAATAACTTTCCATATAACAGGAACTGCTTCATCTAGAAGAAATGCATTATTTCAGTGTAAGACATACTTGTCTTCATGTTCGTAAATGTTGAGACCAAGAGCATCCACTCCCAGCCAGAGCTCTGTTCCCTTCTTATTTTTGATCTCAAAGTAGTTCACTCCATACATCTCCAGATCCTGAGCGATCTTCAGATACTCCATCATAGAATCCTCTCTGTAAACACACATTCAGATGGACAAATAACAAACTGCTACATGCTGGGAATAGAAATACTGCTATTAATCATTGTGAAGTGCACTGTGTGTTGTTGGGGATTAAAAACATCAGTGACATGAGCATACTCTTTGAGTTATAAGCTATTGTTATGTATACTCTGTATTGTTTGTGCATGTATTTGTGTCAAGCCAGAAAACGGTAATTACCTGAGCATACCCCTGTGTTCCTCATGCCACGTCTGAATCCTGTCCTCCCACTGTTCTTTAGTCAGTTTATGTTGTTCCAAAACTCTACATAATAATAACATTCACAACACACAATTAATCAGTCTGGTATCACTGTAGGGGCTCAGATAAATAATCATAAATATTGTGCAACAATTATACAAACTGTAACGGTACACACACAAAAAGGAAACCAACAGACTTTTGAAATTCATCAAGGTAAGGAAGGGCTTCAGACAAAAACAAACAAAACAATTAAAGAATTGTGATATTTCTTCAATAGGAATATTAAATTATCTTTAGAATACTCCAAGACCACTATTGATTTTTTAGACCTAACCATCTCTATTGATCCAGAAGGGAAGTTACACACCACGATTTTTAGAAAAAAGACCTCCAGAAACACCATCCTTAGGGCTGACTCCTTTCATCCTCCATATCTCATTGATAATGTACCTTTTGGCCAATTCCAGCGGTTACGCCGTATATGTGACGATAATGCTGATTTTGAAAAACAGGCCGACATTATGTCGGAACGTTTTATTGAAAGAGCCTACAAACCAGATATCGTCACTCATGCACGTTCCAGAGCTTAATCCCTGTATCGTTCTGATAGCTTGATTAAGAAGGCACGTAAGACAGATACTCGATCCCACCCCTTCTTTGTAGTATACAATATAGTAGGGAAGCTAGACAGATAAAAAGGATAATTCAGGATAACTGGGCCATTATCAATTCTGATCCTACCCTCCAACAGGTCTTTCCTCAACCGCCTTTGTTTTCTTACAGAAGGGCCCCGACTCCTTGTGACAAGTTGGTACATAGTTATCTTCCCCCTGAGAAGAAGGAAAGTTGGCTTAAGAGACCTATTGGGTCTATTGCTATACCGTTGTATGAATTGTCCCCATTGTAGTAATATCATTCCCTCGAAAACGTTTGTGGATTTTAAATCTAATAGAACATTCAAGATAAAAGACTTTATAAATTGTAACACTACATTTATTATTTATCATTTATCTTGCCCATGTAAGAATGTGTTTTATGTAGGCCGTACTAAAAGACGTCTACAGGATCGTTTGGCGGAGCATAAATATGCTATTCGTACCAGTAGCCCGGACTATCAGATGGCCCAACACTTCCTACATATGCACAATAAGAACGATTCTCTACTAAAAATAGAGGTCTTGGAGCATGTCAAACCTTTGGATAGAGGTGGTGATCCGCAAATTCAACCAGCGTGAGTCATTTTGGATTCATCAGCTGGATGCGCTCCGATATCCAGGTCTGAATGAGGACATTGAGTTTAAATGTTTCTTATGATATGGTTTTTGTCCTATACTTATGTTTTTTGTCTATGTTCAACACATGATATCTGGCTAATTGTCTTATTTTCCTCTCCAGATAACCTACGTTGAGGGAGATGTTTTTGTAGATACTTTTGTTGTTTTGTTTCTTTGTTAGTTTCACCTGTTGTGGTACTCATTATGTTGATTTTTCCCTATCCTGTTAGACCTGATTGCCTTATTGGGTTAATTGATTGTATTAGGCCTCATTAGGTTAATTGTATTCTGTCTGATTATATGTGGGACTTAACTTATAATTTGTTGCTATTCTCATATCTTGTGTTACTTTGCCCTGAAGAAGACCACTTGTTTGGTCGAAACATGTTGGCTCATGTTCTTTTTAATGACTTAAGCCACATTCAATAAAGGCTTTTTAACTTTATCCTTCTCCTCATTTGACGACTTGACTGAGTGCCTGGGAAAACAATTAAAGAGCCATTGGTGCAAGGAAATTTTTCTAATTGCCACATAAGAATGTTTTAAATTTTTTTTTAAATACTTAATTTCAGTCATCTTGTCATGTGTTTATCTGCCCTCCTTTTACAGCATCAGCATTTTCATCTTGTGGATGTCCTGGGAACTAAGGTTCACTTAAAGTGGAAACTGAACAGCTTTTACAAATGGGCTCTATGCACGGGGGTATTTCCGGTGAAGGTCTAAGGATGCTGGATTACTTCCACCGATCGTAGAGTCCAATGCTATACCGAGAATTTATATTGGTTTTTATACTCTATTGCTATACTAAAGAAACGTTAGTCACAAAAACAGACAAAACAGACACCCCTCATTTTGTTTATGCTTCTTTGTTTATTATATTAAATGAACATAACTATATATAAAATTACATCTAAACGTATTAAAGTTTCGTTTCAAAGACGAGAGGACAGTAAATTTTGAAGACTCTGCCATAATCCCGTTTTCCTCGGTTTTCCTCCGCTTTAAATCTCCCCAACCGGAAACTGAAGAGCAGCCTTGCGTCAAATGCGGAACTTATGCGTGCACATAGCCTATTGAGAGCTATATGCAGTCACAAAGAATTGCTCTTTACACAGAATCTGAGCCAGTGTCATGGATCATAATTATTTCAGTATAGTTTGGCCTCGTCCTCAATGGACCCATGATGCATATGATGCATAGGTCATTTGCAGGGTCGTCACTAGGGGTTGCTCTCACGATTTCAACCGAGGGGGACCCAAACCTTTTATTACATATAAGCTATTTTCACATGGATTTTGACTAGATTAATATCAACAACATTTATTGACAATACTTTAAAATAAGTCACTTTCAAAAGTCTTAGGCATGTTAGTGTTTTCAACTCCATGAAAATGGTTTTAAGCCAGTTAATTATATCTTTCTAATTATATCTTTTGCTGTAGTGTCAGTAGGAAATTTCAGTTTACATTTCCAAACATTCCTTTTGCCATTAAATGTAATAATCCAGTGAGATTTTTGTATGCACAAGGAGTCTGACAACAGCCGGTATGCTCCACATGGAAATCTGATATCATCATCATCATCATCAGATCTGTCTGTGATGATAGAAACAGAAGAAACTGAGACAGACAAAATCCAGAAGACCTGCGGAAACATGTCCAACACGTTTGGAGAAACCTACCTGAAAAGCTACAGTACTGTGAAATGTTTTAGGCACTAGTGTAAAAAAGCTGTAAAGTGAAAATGCATTCAAAAACAATGTCATAAATAGATTTTATTTATCAATTAATTTCTATTATCTAAATCAAATCAATATTTGGTGAGACCACCCTTTGCGTTTAAAACAGTTTTTGTTCTAGGTACACTTGTGCCTAGTTTTTCAGGTAACATTTGAGGTAGGTTTCTTCAAGTGTCTTTAAAAAGTTGCTGCAATTCTTCTGGATTTTGTCTGTCTCAGTTTTTTCTGTTTCTTCATGTAATCCCAGACGGACTCTGTGATGGTGAGATCAGATCTCTGTCTGGAGCATATTGACTGTTGTCAGACTGCTTAATGCGACTGGATTATTACAATTAATGGCAAAAGGAATGTTTAGAAATGTAAACTGATATTTCCTTCTGACACTACAGCAAAAGATATGGTAACACTTTATAATAACTGCATGCTACTAATCATTAGTTAAGCATTAGTAAACAGTTAATTCATCATTTATAAAGCATTAATATACATTAATAAGCAGTTTATAAATACAGCTATACATGCTTTATTCTTGAATTATAAGCATATCTATAATGTGTTTAATATTTGTATTTTCATACTTTATTAATGATCAATTTATCATTTCTAAATGAAGTATAGCATTATTTACAAACCAGTTATTTAAGAGTTGTCAAATAAGTGTTAGTAAATGTAGTAAATTCAGGTAGTTATAAAGCATTTAGTGGTCAGTTAACTATTTTGTGAGCTCATCTAAAGTGAGGACTATTTATGCCTTGTAAAGCATTTACAAAGGACATTTAAAGGCTCAGTTAAATATTTCTATGTTTACTTAATTCCATATGTGAAATATACTTAAAAAATATGCGTGCAAAAACTTGCCAAAAAAAGTTAAGTAAATTTTACTTTATTGTTTTTTTCAGTGTGGACTAATACTTTTAACTTTTGAAAATATTAATGTGTAACCTCATCTGAAAGGCAAAGGGGAATAAGTTGCTGTAATTTACAGTAATATATGAAGTTTTATGTAAACAAAGTTCGGGAGGAGCATGTTCAGGTAATCATTCAATCAGCACAAGAAGAAGCCAGTATAAATAAAGCCTTCCCTTACCTCCTGTCTCATGACTAATTTCTCAGCATCCCACCACCACCCCTTCACCCCACATTCGGCTGGGTCCGCTCATAGTTACCTATGATCTCTAAGGTTATGAGGGGAGTACTCTGGGGTCGGGCCGAATTCTGAGCTCGGAGCCCTCCCCCTGGACAGCAAGCCAAATACGCATTATAATATTACATCAGATTTCATTAACATGTAAACTCGTGAAGTTCTGTATTATGTTCCGAAATTCAGCGTTGTGAATTTCGGTTCGTGTATCCTGAAGTGATAAAATAAAACAAAATTCTATATTCATTTATTTAAATGGGTTAGGGTTATGTGTATATATATACATACATACATACATACATACATGCATATATATATATATATATATATATATAGTATATATATATACACAATATATTATGTGTATGGGTTAGGGTTAGTTATGTGTGATTTAAATACATGTGTGCTGTACACAGTACATCGTATACATGTATTTGTGTGTGTTTTCTGATGAATGGTTTAGTCTATGATTAGGGTAGGATGAAGGGGTACATTAGCCATACTGAAATTAATCCCGTTAACAGTTATGGATCGTATGTTAAAAACATACATGTTATGGATCGTATTTAGGAACATAGTTAATTCACTCATTAACTATCTCTCCGGTTTCATTTTATGAAGTTAATATTTACCGAACATTGCTGCAAATATAGTCGTTGCTTTCTACGTTATATGGGAGCAGTCTATTTCCCTCCTAAATCATTCATCTGTACATGCACAGCGTAATTATTTATATTTTATGTTGGTTGGAAATGGAATTCTGAACGGACCGCCACTGCAGACCTCTTTGTGTGATCACGAAGGTAGGCTAATGGCTGAATCGGAATTTATAAGTAAGATCACGGGAATCAATAGCCTAATACAGCCCAGTTGTGCTAAAATAAATATCATGAGACGTCCATCATCA